CCTCGTCATGCAAGAAGACACAGCGCACTGCCAAGCAGTGATTCTCTTCTTTAAACCTCCTCCCCTTCTCCCAGGCCACTTTGCATGTCCTTCTTCTTCCTGCCATTACTGCGGTAGTACCATATTCATCGTGCAATAGCACGTGAAGATACCCAGAAAAAGTGTCCCATATTTTATCTACAGCTTAAATTGAGAGTTCTTTTTGGCCAGTAAGAAAACTAATCTCTCCAAAATTCATCCCCTTTTTTCGACGGCCACTTGGTACTGGAGCATACCAGGAAGTTGAAGTCGCCATAAACTTGCTTGTAAGCAAATCCTTGACAGATTGACAGTGCAGTAGTTGTGAATGGCATTTTTTTATTCTTCCGAGAGCCTCTGACTCTTACGGAAAGTAAATAAGGAGTGGATTTTGACCAATTCCACTCGATCAGTTCAAAATTTCGTGCGACAGAGACAGGGTGTAGAGCCACTTTCAATAGATATAATGAATATTGGTGCGCATCAGAGGCAAGCATGCGTTTTTCGTACAGTGTGACTACGCTTACATGAAGTCATAAAACGATGCCGAGTAAACTCGGAAGACTCATATTTGATTTCAGATGGACTTCGGGGGCAAAAATTAAGATTGAAGAACTTCTGTCTTCCTATATATCCAGTCGCGAAGCTGAAAAAAGACAAAAACCAACAATATGTATTTAAATTAATGCAAAAAATGAACAAAATCGATGTTCAGTGCAAAAAATTGAAGCAAAGCATACCATCATATTTGCTAGCGGGTGAAATTCACCGTTAAAATGTTACTTCCGAATGGGGCAGTCCTAAAGAAAAATTTCTGTGAACATACCCAAGCAGATTAGTGAAGGCACACATGCAACGTCGACTCGCCACAGCAACCGTGTTTGGTACAGTTTTCGAAACAGCGCTGATGTGGTCCAAAAACGATGAATAAGCAGAATTCAGTGCGCAGCTACTCGCAATGCTACTGATTCCAAACGGAAGCAACGAGCCTTTATAACGCTCCCTGTAAAATGAGTGTGAATTTCTGAACAACGAGAAAAAAAGTAGAGATACCAGCTGAATTAAACATCGACAGTATTGAATCTGGTTCTTTAGACTTCGCATAAAAGCAATGTATTCAGAAAACCGATCAAGTCGTAAGTTTTTTTGCATACTTCCACCCAGGTGGACCAAATATGCTACAGTGCTTCAGATGCAAATACACGGCGCGCAGGCAAATCTGGCCCCCATCTACCTTAGACGCCAGTCAAGATTAAATGATTAATAGGTCCTAAATGATTAAAGAGTCTCAAGAAATTCAAGCTATTCTGATCGAGATGAAAAATGTTAAAACATATAACAGCTAACAAGCTCAGACGGAGCCAAACGGAAGCAAGAAATGCGCATAAATGGAGTAGTGAGCAAATTTTAGAAAAAGTACTGAGTCCACTGCACAATACATCCAAAAAAAAATAGTGAAAACACACGCCTTTTTGCAAAACTAAACCGTGTTTTTGCTAGCTGCAATTTGTAAAAAACGTGTTGTTTGCCATTCAATAAACGAAAAAAAATTAAAAAATAAACAAATCATAAAGGAAATAACCATGATGGATCGTCGAAATGTATTTGAAGTCCATCAACATCCACACTCAAATCCAAAATCTTCGGTGCTACTTTTCGTTCGACCCCTCAAAAAGCAACGATTTCGAAAAAAATTTATCATTCAGAGGTGACGCATAATGAGCAAACTACATAAAACAGGAAGCGGCACTTTCATAAAAAATATTTAGCCTTAGTGGTTTTTTCTTTGTCGTACTACAGAAATGAAAAAGACGAAACCACAGTAATGTGGCCAAACTTGCTGAATCAGTAAAATTCTAAAAACTCACAGGTTTATAGCAAACTCGGAAATTTTACAACTCAGAAAATAAGGATGATAACGAATTTCGCTGGAAGTGTTACTACATACGAGATAAAATTACAAGCTTCATAACTTTTCAAAAAATCGTCTGGTATGGGAATAAATAAACATCCTAAAAAATAGTTGGCGGAGAGATAAAAAAGCACACTCCTGGATTTTCAAAAAAAAAATTCATAAAAAAGCAAGGAAAAATCGGGAAAACGCTTTGCAATTTTCACCTTGCTTAGGTGGATCATCCGAATGGAAGCAAAGCACCTTCTCCACGGTGGCATTTGGCCA